GAAAGGCTGTCTACCCCTGATCTAGACACTGTGTGTCTATTGATGCAATATAGAATCACATTGGTCTTTTTAGCTGCCCCATCACACTGTTGACTCATGTTCAACTTGTGGTCTACTAGAACTTCTAGATCCTTTTCACATGTCATCTGGTTAAGCCAGGTCTCCCTCATCTATATATCTATGCATTTAATTTTTCTGCCTAAGTGCAGTACCTTACATTTCTCCCTGCTGAAGTTCATTTTGTTAGTTTTGACCCAGCTTTCTAATCTATTCAGGTTATTTTGAATTTTGATCCTCTTCTCTGGCGTACTAGCTACTCCTCTTAATTTGGTGTCATCTGCAAATTTGATAAGCATGCACTCTGTTCCTTCATCCAAGTCTTTGATAAAGATGTTGAATAGCACTGTGGCACCCCACTGGCCACTTCTCTCCAAGATGAAGAGGAGCCGTTGATGAGCACCCTTTGGGGCCAGCTGGTAAACCAATTATAAATCCACCTAACAGTTGTCTAGCCCACATTTTACTAGCTGTTTTGCAAAAATGTCACACAGAACCTTGTCAAAGGCCTTACTGAAATCAAGATATGCTATATCTACAGCATTTCCTTCATTTACCAAGCTGATAATTTTATTTTTAAAAAAGATCAGATTAATCTGGCATGACTTGTTTTTGAGAAACCCATGTTGACTTTTTGTGATTGAGGCATTCCCTTCTAATTTTTCACAGAGTCTCTGTTTAATGAATCTTGCCCAGTTATTGATGTCAGACTAACTGGGTGATAGTTGCTGGGATCCTTTTTTCCCCTTTTTGAAGATGGGGGACAATGTTTGCCCTCCTCCAGTCTGCTGGGACTTCTCCTGTTCTCCAGGTGTTCTCAAAAATTATTGCTAATGACACTGAGATCACTTCTGCCAGTTCTTTTAATACCCTTGATTGGGCTTTCTCCCAAATTTTCTATGTTTAAAACTGCATTTGCAAAGCAAATCCTTTTCAGTTTGGCTTCACTGTTTCAAAGCCAAAGAGATAAGAAAAGGAATGTTTGTTGATGTCAATTAGTAAGACTGATGGTTTGGACTGGAAGTAAAGTTAGGAAACTAAGGAGATAGGACCCAATTAGTTGGTCCAGGTGTTGATGAGTAATGCCAAAATCGTTTGCGCATGGCAAGTAGAAGTGTAACGTAATCAGCAAAGGAGGGGGTGTTGGAGTTGTGTCCTGTAACCAATGAAAATGGCCCATTATGCATGTATTAATATAATTATAAGTTAGCTGTGTAAGATGGTATATAAGGATGTTGGTTAGCAAGGGGAGGGCAATCTCTGTCAGAGGCCCGTTGACGTTAAAAGGAATAAAGGAATAAACTCATTTTTTCCTGATTCAAGGGTCTTTGTGTTATCCACAACAGATACATCTTTATTATATGCGCATCACATATGTCTGAAGAATTAGAGCACTGCATAGAATCATAGAGTTGAAAGGGACTGCATGGACTATCTAATCTAGTGGTCCCCAAAAGGGCTCATGCTCTTTTGGGCT